AGTTCTTGGATAACTCTTTGGACACAATCTCAGCGATCTTGGGGTCCAAGAGATAGTAATAGCTGTAAACGACAACATTTGCATAAGTGATGGCATAACGGGTCAGAAAATAAGGACATAAGCCTTTGGATCGGCCGAAGCCCTTGAGGTCATCGATATTGTAGACACCGTTTGGAAGTAAGACTTCGCGACCCTTTGCCTCGAAATTCTCATAGAAAGAGCACTCATTTGATTGGCTCTCATCTGAATCGGACGCTACTCTTCGGTGAGAAGCCGTTAAACTAAAGCACTTTCCGTCCACTGATTTTCCATCTTTTTCTCTACTCACCACCGGATGAATACATAGATTCTTCCTCGAAGTCAGACACAAACCAAGAAAATTGCTTTTGTTTCGATCACTGGTCGACAGCTTCTTGTAGTAGTCATTCAAATGTCTTAATTCTTGTATGACTTTCTCAATCTCTGGAACAGTTCGCGAACAGTAAATCAGTTTTGAGATATCGTTTGGTCGCTGTCTTTGATATGCAATAATCAAAGCCAATAGAGATATAGTCTTTCCGGTGCCGGAAGGCATCTCCAGAACTCCATGTCCTCTGGCGTCCAGACATTTCTTGAGTTCACACATATATGAGTACTGTTCCGGATATATGTAGTCATACGGAAAATATACGTCCAGTCCATCGATGTCTAGCCTTCAAATGGAGTTCAAGATGAGTGACAAGTGTCTTAAGACATGGACTCAACACTTACTTCATTGCTTCGAGTGGTATATGAAGTGATGTTCAGATTGTCATCAATTGGTTTGCTGTCATAGACTGAACCAAACATAACACCAACTCTTGTCAAACAAAACACATGTTGTCGTCAATTAGGGTTTCCCTCATTCATGCATTCAGTGCGAGCATTCATATATAGTGTTACCAACTATTTATGTACACATTCTACACCAAAATTCTTGTCAACTACCGGTAGTTATGTATCGATTCTGTAATACAGACATAAAAATTATACAATTTACAAATTGTAACCTTTCACCAGTTAATGGAGTTTGTGACTGTGGTCTGGTTTACATTACTGGCATTATGAACCACTATACAAACAGTATTATTTAATATGATTTTTTTATTAGAATTATAACTTTTTATTACAATTTCAGTCATTTTTTAGCCATAAGTTTAATTGATTACAATAGGTTTGACAATACAATTGATAGTATAGAGTGTGACTGACAGTGAGTGTCAGTTAGTGTTTAGTAAAAAAATGTCATATAAAATACGGGAACCAATGATGTAGTGGTCAAGCGGTCCATTTAAGACATCTGGTGTCGCGGTGTGTCTTAAGGCAATTGAGACAACAGTAACGCATTCCGCAGTTAACACACGTATAGTTTGACACAAAACCACAAACACTACAGAAGTGACGCCGAGGAACAAATGACACCCTTTTGTCGGACTCGGAGTAAGGGGTGGGCGGAGGGGCGGCACAGTTGGCATAATAGGCTTCCGGAGTCTTGGAGTCCTCTTCGATGAGGTTATTGA